CCTTTAGATTACTTCTGACATCCTCGCACACAAGTTGCTCCCCGAGTTTTTTTCTGAGGAGGTGCGAGAACAGCAGCGAGAGTACTAATTTTATTCAAATATCTTCGCAGGACGAAGGTTCTTATAAAGGACCAAGTATGCGTCTTTGGTGCTTCCTGTGACATTCCACAGTGCTTATCTATGATTGTAGTTACCCAAGAAGACTGATAATGTCGTTTTTTGTCCGATGGCCCCGATTCAACTCATGGCGTACAAACGCATCTTAGAGTTACCCGCAGTTCAGCACCTTATTCAAAAGGACGATCCTTGCGAGTGTGGATCCGGAAAAACGTGAGTTCTTTGCAATTTAGCACGACTTCTGTCAACCAGATAATCGCAGCACAAAAGAATGTTGTTGGCCATACCAAGCTGGCGACTGTTTACGCTACATGGCCGTGTTACTCTCACTCTCTAACCACCTAGGACTGATTCTACCTAGTAGGCTTTCTTTGATGCTCATAGCTCATTATTGACTTTTTTCTCAGACGGCGTTCAAAAGAGCCAAGACCAGGAGAGTCTGCTTTTTGGTGGTTCCATATCTTGACTTATCTTGACATGTAGGTCGATCGTGCCCGCGCGTTATCCAAATGGATATTTCCCAATGACGATGTACCGAACCAGATTCAAGTTGAAATGAAGCCGGAATACTGTGGAAAGTGGACAGTAAATATCAATCCGTTAGGACCACAGTGTCCCAATTTAAATTCTCGGTACAGGTGCTAGAATCACTCCTCGAAGACTTTTGGCAAGACCGTCGTAACAATAAAGTTCTAATCTTCACGAAGTCGGTCCAGCTCCTGAAGATCTTGGAGAACTACCTAAGATCAACTCGTATGTCATGCAAGAATTATTCAACGCATACTATGTTGATTCCTCCACAGAGTACGGATTCCTTAGTTTTTCGGGGGAGACGCCGCAGAAGGAAAGTGAGTTGATTCTTTCACTGGTCTTGTTCAATTCACTAACTCGATATTGGAGGAATGGGGGCTGATCGACCAATTCCACAAGAATAAGGATATCTTTATTTTTCTCATCTCGACGCTGGCTGGAGGGACGGGATTGAACCTGACAGGTCCGCTTCTTTTCCTCATCGCGGTTTGTTTGTTGACAATATTTGTTTCAACAGGCGCGAATAAAGTGGTGATTTTTGGCAAGTTGTCCATTGTTCTTCCTGGCTCTGATCTGACTTTATCCTCATAGATCCCCACTGGAGTATGCTGTCTTTATAAATTTCCTTGATACGAGTTTAACGAGCTTTCTGTAGACCCGGCCCATGATCCTGCAAGCAATGGACAGGTAGAAGGTTCAGACTTACACCTATCGCTATTAACCTTCAATATCAACAGGGCGTACCGTATCGGCCAAAACAAAGAACGTCACTGTTTACAGGTTACTTGGTGCAGGATCCCTCGAAGAACTTATATATGCATGTCAAGTGTACAAGCAGCAACAGATGCTCATAGGGTACGATGCGAGTATTCAAACAAGGTGTGGTCCCACGTTCATATTTCGTTGCTCTCCTTTGTTAAGACGTATCTTCTCCAGGTACTTCGAAGGCGTCAAAAATAGTCGCAGCAAGCAAGGGAGCTTTTTGGTATTAAAAATATATTCAAACTAGATGAAAAAAAGCTTGCGACGAAGAAGGCTGTAAGCTCCTTGTCCTTCTATCCCTTGTTAACTATCTTATGCTTTCTCAGATTGAAGAAGCCAATCAAGCGCAGATAGATTGGGCGTTTGCCAATTTCGGCGGCTACGGGATGGGGCACAGGATTCAAAAGACCCCGATGTACGTGCTGACCGTCCCGTTCGAAACGTTTGAAACTAAATTTTACATAGAATATGCCGGATTGGACAAAATGCTATTTGACTCATCCGATGGTTTACTTGCAGTTTTTCTTTACTCAGGATATATCTTGACTACCGGACGTAGGAAAAGCAGACGTAGGAAAATACCCGAAAGAAAGCACAGTCGACAAGATCCTCGATTCTTCTAGAGTCGCCTATACTCATCACAACGACGATGTTGTCAAACAAAACGCAATCGAGGTTGAAAAGGCCAAAGAAATACTTGTAATTGCGATGGCCTAGTTCTCGATGTTTCTTCTCACGTTTTCGGTTAGAAGAGAATCCGAGAATCGAAGAAGCAAGGTGTCTCCGGGTCTCCGCTTTCCAGCAACCCTGATCGTCGTCGTTCTAGTGGACGCAGTATCGCTACTCAACGCGCCGGTGGCAGCTCCAAGGTCACCCGTAGCAAACAAAGGAGCCCTCCTACCACTCATAATAAATCAAACGTCCAATGGCCCCCCATACGCAAGCATCATCAGCGAAAGCTCAACTCTCAAGAACAGTCAGTCATATTTTTTTTTGCTGCCTCGCATTTCGTATCCAACACCCCGCAGGTACGATGCTCGCTGGAGCGTACTTATAGAGCACGGGTTTTTCAACAATGCTGCAGAAATCAGAGAGAAATTCATTCCCGAGTTGTATGTATCTACGCTTCAACAAGTTTCGGCTCTGACATTTTGTGTTAGCATGAAGATGACACGTGAACAGCAGGAAAACTACTTCTACGAGGTGGACCAGCACGTAATTAGGAAAGAAAGGGAGAAGAAGGACAAGGGAGAAAAGAACAAGAAGGAGAAGAAGGCTATCGAGGAAGATCAGCTCAGCTCTGACTAGAAGCCGAACTCTCTTTGCGTCGTACTAAAGTATTGTTATTATTATATAATATCTTGTTCTCTCTGACCGAAGCCTGTAAAAAAAAAATTGCTGAGTCTCCTGTGAGTGTATGTAATCTTATCATGTCATGTGGCATACTCGGCACCCTCTGCTGGTGACTCATGTACAGCATGGCACGTGCTCTGAGTCAAGGTCAACGTCTCAGCGCTTATAGATTCTATCTCTTTGTTCCGTCTCCCAACGTCGTCTTTCTACTTCTCAGTGTGATCTTGGCCTCTCCTGGCCAAACTAACAAATCGTGAGTCTCTTTCCTTTCTGCCTTGAGAAATGTTGCTGTTCGCGGCATGTCAACGTCTACGATATGCATCGCTCTTTTTTTTTTTGGCTGTGCACAATAGGTGTGAAATAACCTGACTTCCCTCATCTTCCAGACTGCATACCGCGCTGCTCTCTTCCACCCGGACCACTTTCACCTTAACTTTTCGTCGAAATTCCTTCCTCCGCTTATCCAAACTATCTTTACCAGTCGAACGACGATGTTCATTATCCTGTGAATACCTCGGCTGCTACTTCGAATCCGTCATTGGCTACACGTACATATGGACAAATCGTTGAGAGGATGGGTAACTCTCATAACGTCGCTGCTGCTCCCTCGACTCGATCATTTGAGCTAGCTGCGCTTTATGGTATTCCGCATTCACTTCCAAAACCACCCAAGACCACTGCTCGACCCGAAACCATTGCGCATTCTTCCGCTGCGCCCATATCTTTTGAGGCCATGAGACAAAACTACTTGTCGATGCTTTCGAACGATCCGTCGGCCACCATGGCCGAGCACTCAACCAGCTCTCTCCCAGCGGACCCGCCACCTGACGCTGTTGATGCGCCTGGTCCGTCATCTGGCGATACTGAATTCACTGATATCATACAAGGTGGCTTGTACTCGTTGAATCATTTTACAAATGCTGACTGTCGTTTTCAGCCTCTCCAGATTTCAAGGCTGACAGCTTCGGAGACTATCTTACTTCTCCATTCGGCACTCCATACGATGACTTCAACACTTCGCCCATGGATGACTCTCCTTTTATGGCAGATCTGAGTACCCCTATCATGGACCATATCGATGACTTTGAATACGGTGTTGTCGATAGTGCTGGTTGGATGATGAATGGAGCTGTCGCACCACTGTTTTGATGATGCTAGTTTGTCATTTTATGCCCAGCCTGTTATTCAAGCCGAGACGCTTGTGAAGCAGGTACAACAGCATACTGCATCAGACCCCTTGAACAGCTCAAAGCTCTACATGTTCTCTCCAAGTTCCCCAGCTCTTGATGATTTCCGCTCTCCTGTTACCCAGCCTATCCACTCTCCAGTCTTGCATCCTACAACTTCCCTATATCCTTCTCCTCGTGTTCCAACCTCTGTAAATACAAATGCCACTCCTGCCAATCGCAGTCGGAGCAAGTCTCGTGGCCCATCTTCCATGGCAAATGGTACTCGCAGAGCCAGTTCACCAAGCTCTCTTGTACCGCTTAATGCTCCCACACAGCCTCGGCGGTACATCTTGCCTTCCGCTACCTCACGCAAGGCTAACCCTCTTCATGCCAATAAGCGCTCGCATTCTGAGGCCTTTGGTGATGCCCAGGAGCTGGATGAACTACCAGGGGAAGCTCCTCCTGGCCCAATGCCACAGAGGTTGAGCACATTGAGTGAAGCGAAGGCAAAACACCATTGCGGCTCGGAAGAGCAGGAGACGTAAATTGGAGCATCTGCGTGAGTTAGAAAGTGAAAACTCAGAGCTGAAAGAGGAGAGGGATAGATGGAAGGTCAGATGTGACGTGCTCGAAGGTGTTTTGAAAGCGAACGGTATGATGGTTCCCGAATGGCTTGATGAATAAACCACAGACTATGGACCTTTTCCTTATGCTATCTTCCCCTTCTGATCTATTATTCTATCTTTTATTATTAATTCGTCTATGCTGTATCTCCGTATCATGAACCCCACTCACTGAAAACTACAGAACGAACTTACTTTCGAGTTTTCCTTTCTTGCTTGTCTATCTCTGTGCATATGCAATTCTCAACCTATTTATTATACTCCGCGTTGTAGACTTAACTACACCCTCCTCACCTTGTATAGTTTTTCAGCCTTAAGGCTGCAATTCCGCGATTAACTTATGCTAAGTCTAATATTAGAACCTTGAGTTATTTAAGGATTATGGCTGAGTATTAGGCTAAATCCTGGGATGTGGGAAATATATATAAATTTTATAAAAAATAACGGGGCGAATCCGGATTCGAACCGAAGACCCCTTGCAATGAACTTTGCCCAAAGCAAGTATCATACCTCTAGACCATTACGCCCATGAATAAATTTAGGTTGATTCAGTATATAAACTGTCCAAGTCAAATTTTTCTAACAATTGTCGATTTCTTGGAGAGTACGTAGCACAAGCATAATGATACATTGTCTGAAAGATTCATCAACCTAAACCTCCGTATCTTGAGGATCATCAGATGTTCTCTCATCATCTTCCTTCTCCAGCTCACTCTTCTCCTTGAGTTTTCTAATATTCGACTGAGGTCCATGTAATGACGGTGCCCGTCGATAATATACCAGGCGCTGTGAGGACGTTAGTAATTTGGCAGTGCCTGATAAGCAGTCTTACAAGGCAGACACCATCACTCCAACAGTGATTACCTGTAAATATAAATCAAGACTAATCATAAACAGTAAGACGCAGGTCATTTACCGATGCATAGTTCATTGTTTGTGGCGTGACTGGGAGCGTTGTAGGGAATGAGAAAATCACACAGACGAACAACGTCCAGGAAATACAAATGCAGTTGGCCCCCAGCCCGATGATCCCGTCACCCATGTAGAATGGACCTGGTTTGAACATAACCTCGGGATGGTTTTGAAACACTCGGCGCAGAAAAATGGGAATAATGTAGCTCAGGTCAAGAGATATAGCACAGAGTGCGAAAATAGCGTTGGCCGCAATGGGACTAGCCAAATCAAGAAGACCAGGAATGATGCTGAGGACCGTACACAAAACGATAGCACGAAGGGGTGTTTGTGTGAGCTTGGAGTTGTATCCAAAGTAACCCCGATCGGGGAAACCTTTTGGGAAACTATTAGCGATGAGTGAGGTGAGGTGAGCCAGAAAGAGTATACCATGGTCACGGCTGAATGCGTAGAATGTGCGCGAGACAGCCTGGAGAGCGGTTTGGACAACAAAAAATGCTGTAAAACAAACAGGGACCTATTTTGGCCTGGTCAACAAAGACATCATTGACCTAGTGTAGAAGTGGAACCAACCCATAGCACGAGTGCGCCTGCTTTTCCCATCCTGAGATACATGATCTGTATGTCAAAGGTCAAAACGACTTCAGCTTAATCAAACAACGAGGATAGACCTGTAAGAAAGCCAAGTCAGCAGCCCCAGGAAGGTCTGTTCTAGATATTTTTACGGTGTCAGGTGGGGTTGAACCAGCAAGAAGAGATGGCTCACAGAGGGCCAGAGCATAGTACGAGCACAATATTCAGGAGCCATCCAAGCAACCTGTACCAATGACTAACGTATCAAGGATTAGAATGCAAATTACAGATTGGTGTACGATATTTCATACCGGCCACTACGATATATTAGAAATTAGCACACAGGTCACAGATTGTGATGAGATTTTGCATACCGAAGATAGCAGTCGGAGCTTGTCGTTGCTTCATCAGTCTCAATTGCCCCGGCGAAAGAGGCAAAAGCTCACCTACCTGCGTATGCAGCGCGCTTCACCTCCTCGCTATAAGAAGATAAATATGAATTTGACAAGTTTTGAAGAAGAGAAACTTGCCAGATATGGGCTGTAGCGTCGTAGTCCTATAGTAAGCGATTAAGGTCCAGTAGGTAATCCTTCTGAAAGTGCACCTACCGTCATCTGTCAAACGAGGTCAGTATTGACACGATACAGAAATCAATCAGCTGACCGTCCATTGAACACTGAGCAACCCAAACACAAAAAGCGAGCCCATTATTCCATCCACCGGTTTGATTGTTAAAAACCTTGAGCCCCGAAGACATAGTTAGCGGCATGCATTTCAGAGCGAGGTGTTGTGGCGAGAAGAACAATGACAATCACTATAACAAAAAAATCTGGTTCGAAAACATTAAGGATAAAACGAGATAAGGTCAGCTCACAGAATAGTCGCTCCCAAATTCACGAAAAAACATATCCTGAGGACATGCGCGCGAGCCAGCGGGTTCCCAGGCAATTCTAGACTTGAGGTATCAGAGACAGTTTTGAAAAGACAGCAAACACCAACTAAGGACCCATGCACTACGAGAAGGATAACAAACAGCCAGACGGTTTTTGCCTACATGATGATAAGCTTGGACACATCAGTCCACACGATTTTACGAACTTGTGTTACTTCAAAGTTGCCGTCCTAAAGATAAATTAGTCTGTCACGAAAATCGTGTCAACAAATGCTCACTTTGCCTATTACCACTGCAGCCCATATCATCTCGAGAGCCCAAATTCTGTTGACGCAACTCCGGCGATTTGACCTAGTTAACAAGTAAGCACCACGACAACACATAGCGGAGTTATGTACCGAGCATGTTTAGCCATCCTACAACCCATCCAACCTAGATTCTTCGGTTAAAATATCGAGGTCAGAGAACACATGTGAGTGCTCACTCGTGCACGGTATTTTTTTAGGGGTAAGTTGGGCAGAAGCAGTGTATCTTCGTCAATCGAGTAAACAAAAAATCATCAAGACATCACATCAGTAGCGATAAAACCCACAATCCACCCGAGGTAGGGTAAGCGCTTACGATCTCGGCGATGCTTGCGCCAAGCGTAAGGCACATACATGCTCCAAGGATCCAGCACCAGACCACCTACGGGAAAGTACGAGGGGGCATCAGAAAGTTTGCAATTTTTAGTTGCCCAAACTCACAGAAGATGGTCCTCCTGTTAAAAGTGGCGTGTCGAAAGTTGTCGCGATACTCGAGCATAAACCCTTTCAGAGTCTCAGGACCTTGAAGGTTGAAGTACGACGATAGACAGCGATAGACACACCATGATACTAAATGCAAAACTGATCTACACCTATGAGTACGGGATTTCCCAACAGCCCCACCTTGGACATACCGTGGCCAAGTTGGAGAATTCACGCTTGAACGAGGGCACATAGCCCAAGGCGACGAGCTCTCTGTCATCCTCGGAAAATTTGGTTTCTGTCATGTTGGTGGTCATGTTGGTAGAAGATAAGTACAAGTACAGATTGACCCAAGTCCGTGATGTATTATTCAATATTTAACTAAGCCTTGTAAGAACGTGGCGTATCAATGCCAGTGAATACTAGTGAATACTTCACCAAATAAAAACTTGGATCCATGTGGTGTAAGTGATGTCATGCCGCAATAGACTGATATCGCAGAGCCGGAGTGGTAGAAAGTCGTACCGAAGGGAGCGTAGGCGTACGAGGGAAGGAAGTCCGGTGGTATATCCCTAGCTTTGAAAGGTCCGTAATGTGAGATCGTTGTAGAACACCCTCTACTGGGAATCACAAGTAGTAACTTGAACAAGCTAGTTTGTAACTTATAAAGTGTTGCATCATAGCAGTATGAGTATAGATCACAGATACTGGAAGGACTAGACGGTAAGAGATCAACATACAGTAAAGCCAAATGTGTTAATCCGGTGAGTCCGTCGTTCCCATATACTGGGGGTCATTCTGGTCGAAAGAGAGTACCCGTAGAGAACGTCCTCCACCAGCGAGCGTTGACTCGAATTTTTCTTCGTCCATCCCTTACCTCTGTTGGCTGAATCTCATTTTTTTCCCAAGTGAAACTACAATCCCGAAACGTTCTCCATCAGGTTCTATTTCACACTCTTTGTCAAACTGGCTGTTGAGTTCTCTGAGTCCACTGGGCTCTCCGTCGAAGTAGAACGGATAAAAAGGTGGCTTGGAGTTTGGTATGACTTGAACTATTTGTACTCGGTGAATTCAAGTCGTAGTCCTCATTAATTCTTGGCTCCGAGATAGGATAATAATGGCCTGCGACGACTGAATAAGATCTCTATGCATATTGACGATCTTTGTTCTCTTCTCATGCGGTATTAACATGCTATGCATCTGTTCCAGCATTCGCCGTAAATTTGAACGAGCAGCTGGGCTTGAAATTGAGTGCACATTACCTGATTGAAGAATAGCCCGCTGAACGTCGCAAAAGAATGATACAGGTTAATCCTTTCCCAGGAAATGAATTTATTTCGCCAATCTACTCCGCTCCAACGTTGTAAGTAGGATGCAATTCCAGTGGATAAGGTTCAAACCTGTCGACTCGTGCTGAGGGTTACCTGAGTTAGCGCATATAAGCAGCCAGGCTTAATCAGGTACAGCACCTGGAATTCAGGATAAGCCGCCCGACGTCCGAGCCATTGAACCATCACAGAATTTCGTGAAATCTAGCAAAGGAACGAGAAGAAGCTAGGTCGAGATAAGACATAAGAACTCAATACCAAATGAAGAGTTCTGCATCTGAGCAAGTGATGTCAAAACTGGGGAAAAAAACTGCCCGGGATCTGAAGCATGTGTATTCGACTACCGTATCCGCGAGTGCTTCGGGAAGAATCAGGAAAAGCCAGATCTGTTGGGTTGGCCCCTGAACTTTGCTGGACAAGGAGAGGCTGGGAATCGCCCTCGAACGTTGTGATTGGGGTGGGTTAGGTTATGACAGAATCTACGTATCAATAGACATCGTTGTATGATATATAACATCTTTTACGCGCGATGAATTCGTGGATGTGCAAAACAGTACTGTAAGAGACACATGTGCGTAGCATTTCCAGACGATATGATGGACTGTCTTGCTCGCTGGTGGAACTTCATTAATTATAATCTTTCCTTTGGAGCTGGTCTCTATTGAATGGACAGCTAGAATACGGAGATATGTATGTGTCCACGGGAATGCACATATCATTCACGTAGTTTACATACCTCGGACCGCCGTATGCTGGCAAACAGCAGGCAGCTCCAAAGTGTTCAGCGAATGAAGTTCGAAGCGGTTCCGTTCCCAGGTTCCCAGGGTGCGGGCAGAAAATAGTGGCTTAAGAATACTTGCTCCACAACTATTGTACTTATGTACTGTCGCGGGAGGTTGCACAGGACATAGAAATGGAGATCGGCCTCTACGGAACGACCACTCCGTACCTATGAGGGTTTAGTTAACAGTCAAGGCAAGAGCCAAATGAGTGAGAGTCATGGTGAATTCGAACCCAGAATTGCAGAGTTCAGTCCGGAGGCCTGATGAGTGTCATAAAGCATTCGTACCGCCGTTCTGGAGCACCGAAATTACT